CTGAGTGCTGTTTGTGAAAGTGTGCAGAGGAGGCTGTGAGCAGTATGTGGAGGGGGAGGTTGGTGTGTGTGTGTGTGTCTCCCCTCCTCCTGCTCACTTTTCCCTGGTCTTGTACGAGCTTTCCCTGAGGGTCTGGTTGGGAAGCATTTTGTATCTTCGATGTAAATCCCACTTATTGTCCTACTATGGTGTTTATTTGCAGTAATATTTACTAAAGTGAGAATTCAAAGTGAAGTTAAAATTTCACGGCAAAGTAGCCAAGTTGGAAACCATCTCTATCTGAAAGGCTTGCTGAAGGGTTTGAAGGACAGGACCACTGTATCTAGATCACTCTTGGTGACTTTAGTTGTCCTTTAACACTGCCCTGGGTCTATCGGGAAAGTGGTTTATATTGTCTAGAATGTTCTGGGCTGTCCCTGGGTTCCCATATTAACCATTTATGGCAAGTTTTACGTGTACAGGGGCTATTCTTGATGCCCAAGACTGTCCCAACTGAACAAGATTAACTGGCTGGGAGTGGGTTAGTCTAGAGCTCACAACTAAATACCACTGTTCTGTTTGGCTGAAAATTTCAATCATTAATGCAGGAGTGTTAACGCCACATTATCAGTGCAGTAGAGATGAGGAATGGTCTCTGGGTTCCTAAACAGTAGTAGGTGTAGGAGTTATGCTGCTCAGAATGTCCCTTCAAATGTCGATAGTAGCAAAAGGACAAAGACCAGGCCAATACCGAGTTTATTTCAGAAACGATATCTACTTTTGATTGAATGATATAATAATCACATCCCTCTATGGTTCCTATGGAGACATTGCAATTATCTCCTTTATTGTTAACATTGTAGGACATTTAGAAAGTTCCCAAGGTGAAATCACGGTGTAAAATATTTGGCAGTTCTATCATTTTATACGACCATCTGTTATCATGCACAGAATTCTTGTAAATCTTACATTACTTTGCCAATACACACCCTTCCCTCACTGCGACAGATCAGTGCCCCCCACAACAGTCTAATAAAGCCGGATATTGCTGAGCAATTAAACATTGATCTGTGTGAGGATTTAATTGGCGAGGATTTGCTGTATCTAGATGAAAAGATTGTATGGAAGATGATACGAGTGCCTTAGCGTAACCTCAGGAGAGATCCCTATCAGCAATCTGATTCCCTCTGCTTCAGTGCGATATGAGCAGACAGCCTCTCATCCTGTGATGTGTCTCACCCACAGCTCGCTATAGTACAGAGAATATACGGTGAGGCTGAGAAACATCACACAACCACAGCCACAGTGGAAAAAACAAACAACAAACAGAAACTCCAAGCTTTGAAGTGCACAGGCACTCAATGGCAGCTCGTTTTCTCCTGCAAAACATGGGAGCTCATGTCAATTACTATTTGCTCGTTAACCGCTTGGTTGCCAGGCTAAGGACAGAGCAGACCTCAAAGATCACAAATGCACTATGTTTACTGCAAAATACTCTGTGCATTGCTCAGTGATACACAATGTTAATTATAGTCCATAGCTGGGAGTATGGGTAATCACAGGGATGAACTAACAGCGATTTGGGTCCCCGGGTAAAAGTAGGCTCTGGTTCCTTTGATTGTGAGACAATAAAATTAGTCACGAGTCATGTTACTAATGAGGAGCTTGGTGGCCCCAGACCTTACATCACCAAGTGACTGTCTCTATTTGTGTATAAGTACCTTCTCCAAGGTTATTAAACTGGCTTCTTGAAGGCCAGTGTCCAAGCTACAAGGGGACACTCCAAGCTGGAGATCGCTCATCCATTCTTTATGATTTATAATTATACATAAAATATGCACCCGATAAAGGCATGCAATAAGTCAGAATTAACTTCTGGTTTAGGTGTTAGTCATGCCCTTACAAACTTTTTATATATATATATATATATATATATATATATATATATATATATATATAAATCCATTGTATATCCCAGGCACAGACTTTATAGTGCACTTGTTGGGTCCTTTTGTTGTTGTTGCAGGAAGGGAAACCTAAACTGAGACAGCTGGGTCGGAATTAAAGACAGTCTCTCCCAATGCAACAGTTCAAAGATAAATGGAATATCTGCCCCCAGTAAATTTCTTTAAATCAGTTTGTTTGTTTTCATTTACACCATAGACATAGAGCATTAAAAATCACACCAATTCCATAAATAAACAGACCATCATATCACAGCAGACCACAGCCCATATAAAGAGATGAAGGTCTACGCATTTCGTGCAGACTAAAGTTTGTGTCCTCATACGTCCTTAACATTCCCTCCTGAGAATGTTCTTAGACCATTCTGTATTAACTAAATAGAATAATATTAATATCAGCGCCATCTTAAAGTCAGGCTCCAGTTTAACATACCTTTTGTGAAGCACAAGCTACAGAAAATTCCAACCAAGGCACAGCCTCTGGCTACCAAATTCACTGTCGTGTGGTTCTTTATCTGAGTAATTATGGTTAGATGTGGTTGTGGATGTTGAGTAGAACATTTTAAGGTGGTCTGTCTCTATGATGTCATATAATATCTTCTTTTTTTTTTTTTTTTTTTAAATAGAATCGAAAAGGTTATGATGAAGTTTATACGGTAAGTCCACGGCACAAGAACAAAATCAAGACTGGTTATGAGCTTGTGATCAGTATAAGGAGCTCTACATCCCGGAGCCTTCAAATGTTCTAGAGTTTTTACAAATTAATAACTGCATTTACTCTGTTTGCAGGGACTTCAGCCAGAAAAAATGAATGACCCATACAGTGGTATCCACATCAAACCAGAGGTAAGCACTCATTGAATAACAAACTTGTCTGATTACTGTCAATTGCAAAGCCATCTGTTAGTGATTATATTATTATACACATTTGCCTACACAATGTGACAACATGGTGGCATCGTATTATGATATGCCTCTATAATACATAAAAAGAAGGGGGAGGAGTCTGCGCTAAGTAACAGAAATATGAGCTGCAACCCTAGAAAGGGAATCTCTCAAAAACCCTTAATGAGATATCGGAGAAAAAAAAAGGGGGAGGTGAAGGGCTGCGCTGTGTAAAAGAGATAATAGATAATAAAATATACTCAATATAAAAATAAACAATATAGATAAAATAAATAGATAAAAAGGTAAATAAAATAGAGTCCGTCCAATAATAAAATGTCCAGTAAAATGTATAAAAAACTTCTCACTGATATGTGGATAGGCCGTGTATACAGTCCTCAGAGGTTAGTCCATCCGATTTTCAGGTAATCCGTATATGTGAAAATAAGAGCACAACAAGCTTCCAATGGTATAATATTGTAATGAGATTATAAACGAAAAGGAAAAATGGAGGATAGTACACTCACATTTGTTGGAGCTTTGGACCAGCTCTTGGATGAAAGGCACTTAGCGGTATAATCCCCGCTAGTGGATATACTGTGGAAAAGGGTCCGTCCGGCCGGCTTGAGTTCCGTAGTATTCCGCAGGATATATAAAAACAGTAATAGTGCTCTCAGTTGGAAGAGATAAAGGAATATTAAAATAAAATAAAATATACTCACAATGATAGAGCAGGGAATACTGCTCTATAGGTATAGCGCTGGTGGAATAATCCCCACCTGTGGATTGCTTTGAGCAGGAACAATAAAATGCCAGGAGAAATAAATAAGTAAAAATGTGTTTGTGCAATAAAACAAAAATTGGTCCTATAAATAAGGGTACCAAATAAAAAAATTTATTGTTAAATTACACAGTAAAAAACCATTTGACGCGTTTCACCTCATGGGCTTTATCAAAAATGGATAAAAAGGCCATTTTATATTGGGGATATTTTATTATCTATTATCTCTTTTACACAGCGCAGCCCTTCACCTCCCCTTTTTTTCCCTCTATAATACATACTGTAGAACCAAGAGGATTTCCGCACACCTTCCACAAACCAGGCGCTTAGCGGAACCGGAGTCTGGCTGGACCTCAGTAAACTGTAAAAAGAACAGAATGGTCCAGGTACTCGAGGTGTGCAAATCAGACAGGAACAGCTGGATTCTCCAATAATGCTGCCAGGTTTACACACCCTGAGTGCTCATACAGTCACGTGCAAGTTTCTATACAATACACAGTTTCTGAAATTGCCGGAATAGAGCAAAATTAATACACTGGACATCGTGTAGAGGTATTTAAAGGGACACTGTAGGCACCCAGACCACTTCTGCCCATTGGAGTGGTCTGGGTGCCAACTCCTACTACCCTTAACCCTGCAAGTGTAATTATTGCAATTTTTTATAAACTGCAATAATTACATTGCAGGGTTAACTCCACTAGAGGGCTGCCACTAGAGGGCACCTCCTGCTTCATACACAGAAAACCTGTGCTAGAGCGTCGCTGGACATCCTCACGTTGTGTGAGGACCTCCAGCTTAGCTCAATTCCCCATAGGAAAGCATTGAAAAGCATTTTCAATGCTTCCTGTGGGGAGCGCTAATGCGCATGCGCAACACTCCCGCGGATGCGCATTACGTCCCCCCGGCCGGTGGGTGGGATCAGTCTCGCCCACCGTCCGCCGTAATGCAGAGGAGGAGCGGCGGCGGAGGAAGAAGCAGCGATGTGGGACATGTCGCTGCCTCTGGTAAGTGACTAAAGGGGTTTTCACCCATTCAGCAACCGGGGATGGGAGGTGGGATTGAGAGGGGACCTGCAGTGCCAGGAAAACTGATTGTTTTCCTGGCACTGGAGTTTCCCTTTAATACTCTGTACAAACTGTGAAGATTCTAGATTCTCAGAGATGCTATTTTGGTGCTTCAACGGTGTTGGTGAGCCTTGTTGCATTCAGTGTTGCAGTAAAACACCAGAAGGCAGAAAGAATATATATATTTTTTTTTTTTTTTTTCACCTCTGAAATCCCAAAGCAAACAGTTAACGGTCCAGTTTTTAATGTTCTCAAACAGTCTCTAATTAGAGATGTCGCGAACAGTCCGCGAACTTCTCGCGAGCGGTTCGCCGCGAACCCCGGTCAGCTGACACATCCCGGCCAATCTCCAGCATACCCTCCCTCCCAGAGCCTCCCACCTCCTGGACAGCATCCATGTTGAAGCTGCCTGTCCAGGAGGTGGGAGGGTCTGGGAGGGAGGGTATGCTGGAGATTGGCCGGGATGTGTCAGCTGACCGGAGTTCGCGGTGAACCGCTCGCGAGAAGTTCGCGGACGGTTCGCGACATCTCTATCTCTAGGGAATTTGTAAATTTAGGCTGTAGTAGCCAGATTATGAAAATTCTCAAAACAAATTTTCCACCATATTTGCAAGTCCCTGGATAACAATCCACCTCCCAGATTATTAAAAGAAACACTCCAACATATTTATTTCCAATGTAGGAATGTTCAGGTTCCTTTTTCCATTTAGGGATCTTCCAAAAATAAGCTAGTTACTTTTAACCCAGTAGTGAGACCATCATTCTCCAACGGGATTCCGTTTTCATTTTATCCCTCTATATTTCTTATTAGATATTGCGTCATCCCAAATTACTTTTCCTTTGTTTCCAACTGAATGGTTGTCATCTTCTGGAACCTCAGTCTTTCCTAAGAAAAAAATATCTTCTCTTTTCTCCATGAAATACCAAGACTCCTCTGCCAATCTTAGCATTAGTCAACGCTAATATTTTAGAGAATATTAACCTATGTCAATCACTACAGGTGTGTACTCTTATAAAGGCAAACATTGCCATTTCCCAGAAACAACACTGCCTACGTTTGTCACAGTGCAGGGGGCTGTGTTTGCACCCAAACCACCACATTAAGATGTAGCTGTTTTTTCAAGCTCTGAGTGTCCCAGCTTTATACTGTGAACCCTGGTGACATAGATACAAGCAGTCTTCTGTAGTGCATTGTGGGCAGTTACTATAGTGATATAAAGTAGTTACCATAGAGATGGAGAAAGACACACTTGTGTTAAGTAGTCAGATTCTATTTTTTTCCTTTAGGAGGTTCACTTCTGTGCATGACATGACATTTAATATTTTTTGTTTGTTTGTTTTTAGTTAAATTGTTAGATCAGTATTTAACCAAAAAAAAGCTACTTACCAACCACCAACCCCCCTCTCTCCCCCCCCCAAAAAAAAAATCACCAATAGTGTTTAAATGTCTTTCAGTCACTGGCTACGACAACTAGGAATTGAAGCTTTAATATTATTATTCTATAATTATTTCTACCTCAGATTTTAGTTTTTATTTAAAAATAGCCAATCTGCTTCTTCGTAAGACTTGCCCCTGGGACCCTCTCAAGATTAATCCCCATCAACAGAAGAATACAATGCTGTTCTCGTTTTGTCTTGCTTTTCCTGAGTGATGATTGCGTAGAAAGCATCCTAAAATGATGATGGTGCCTGCGGGGTTTGTGTATTTTACTTTGATAATGTCTGAGAGCTCGCCGATACAAAGAAAGGTAGCTGTATAGATAATACAAGACAATACGCTTTATATCCAAGTGACACAAAGCCGGCACGATAAGACGTTTATTGCAATATACAACAACCAGGGGAAGGAGCGCAGTCTGAAATAATAAAACAAGAAAATGACAAGTTAAAAATAATAATAATCTTTTCCTCCGCTCCAGCCCCCTCGATCAGACAGGTTGAAAAATGCTCTTGAAAGCAGAAAGTGCATTTGAAACAAAATGTGCAGGAAAGCTGAACTCCCAAAAATGCTGCTTAAACCCATTCTTACTAGTAATAATTCCCATATCTGAAAAACTCTTATTGAGAATGTGACAATGAAATACGGCGTTTGTTAAGATTGGACTACAGTATGGACTACGGTAGATACAAAATGTTGTTCTAGGTGATAAAATGCAAAAAAGTGTGTTTTGCCTTGTTTTTTAATCAGAATAACTTCATTTTTCAGAAAGCCAAGATAAATTAATACCTAATGCAGAGAGGCACTGTCACTAATAAGATTTTTATATAATCGCACAGCGAACTAAAAGTTACTTCACTGGTCAAAAAAATTAATGAAAAGAATCAGTTTAGTAGATATGCCCCCAATGAATGAATATAAATATGAATTATTTCAATGGATATTTAACTAAAGCCGCTTGCAAAAACTATAGATCTCTTTTCTGCAGCCTTTGCAAGTCCTCCCCTTCTAACCCCGCCCATACATTCTGTGGCTGTCCAATCACAGACTTACCAATGCAGCTCAATGAGAAGTCTTTGCAAGGCAGGTGCTCTGGGCCAAACCAGGAAGTAACAGGACCGTATCTCAGATTGACAGCCGGGGGGTGTACTAAGTTAATTTATAAACGTGTCAATGTGTCACCTAAAATAAAATGTTTCACCTGTGATGGCTTACTTTCAAGTATAAATTAAATTTCATCAGATAGGGTTATATAAGGGAAACTTATCTGGGTAAATGTATTAATCGGGGTATTCACTTATTATGATGTTGGGAACATTTTCTCTCAAACGGGCCGTTCTGCTCATCTAACTGCTCAGGAGATAACATTGCTTAGAAACCCACAGGTCCAGCGGGCAGTAACGAATAATGTTAGAGGAATGACGGGCATTGGAAAAAAACAAAAAACCTAACAGTATAATTTATAAAATACATCGTCCGATGGAGTAAAAGATATAAACAACGCAAATAGCTGCTTCTACACGTCATGGTACATTAATGGTTTATCTCAACTATCTATTTCAAACTATATTTGCAAAATAATAAAATACTAAATAATAAATGTTTCATTTTATCGTTTGTGTTTCTTGCAGCAGAGAAAAAAGGGAAAAGGCAATGATGGAGTGTACCAGGTAATAAGCCTTTACAATGCAATACTAATGAAGTGTTAGACATGCCGACGAGTAAATGGTTTAATTCTGGATCAGTATTTTTTCCCAAACCGCTCTCAGGCACGGCTAATTTACCTGCAACATTTCACGATAAAATGGCCAACTTGTTGCAAAACTGTAGATTTTTTCCAAATTAATTACTTTGGCCTAACACTTACTATTCTGAATCTATTTAACGGTTTGTTAAATAAACCAATTAGGGTTCTGAGCGAAATAAAATACAAACAATTCAGTTTATGGTCACTCATAATTTGTGTATTAACTAACGGGAGCTGCACCTTCATCGGGAATGATGGTAAAAATAGGAAAGTTCCACAGGAATTTTGGGAGGATTTGGATTAAAAATGAATTGTAAGGTTAAGGCCAAAAGATCCAAGCTGGGAATATTCTATAACTCAATTTTTCCAGTTGAGCTGTAATACTCTAAAATTTGAAGTTCCTAATGAAAAA